AAGAAAAAGGGAATTTCGCATAATCAATGAAAGATTATCGAATTAGAGAAATTTATGTTACTACGGTAACAATACTATATTTAATTAATAAATTTTGACATTGTTGCATTATTTCTGATTGTCACTGTGTATATATTTAAAATATAAAATAAAAAATATTTATTATAAAAAAATAATAATTTATCTTTATAAGAAATTATTATATATTAACTTCTATTTATTTTATATTGTTATATTTTATATTATTTTGAAAATTTTTATATATAATTTTACAATCAAGAAAATTTTTCAAAAAATTTTTGCTTTTATCTATAAAACCAATCATTAAAAATATAACTAATAAATTTTAAAATAATATAAAATAAAAAATATTTGTTAAAAATATAAACTTTTAAATAACATGAAACTTTGTACTTATATATATTTTATTATTAGGTTTTACTTTTTGTTGACTGTGCATATTAGAAATTTGATAAAAAATATTATTATTTCTGCATATATTACTACACAATTTGTTTAATTATACTTATAAAATAATTATAGGATTAGTAATAATAAGTTCGAAGAAAATTTAAAACTAGTTTAGGCACAAGACACTAGTTTTAATAATTAACTTTTTAAAGAAATTGAACATTTTTATTATTAAGATTGCTTAATACGCAAACGTGAGAATTTGGAAAAGTGAACGTATCGGTATTTAATCTAAATAATAAATTTTATTTCTGTTTTTTTTATATATCAAAATGAGATTATATTAGCATTGTTGAGATGCAGAATCAGTGGTAAAGTTACATATTTTGCACTCTTTTCATCAAAAATATAACTGGTCTATTTTGAGCATACCGATACGTAATATGCAACAAATCTGCTGCAGATTTTGTTTTAATGCGTAAAGAAATTTTTTGTCTAAATTTAAAATTATACTTAAATAATAATAAAAGTACAGTGCAGGAATTAGCGTTAATGTCATATTCAATCAAAACAAATAGGTTGAATAGATAATCACCGCAAAAAGAATGCAAAAAAAGCTAAGTCACTACTTAAAAAATTTACCATTTAGTTGTTTTGACTCGCGAGATCGTATAATTATTTATTTTATTACATATAGACCAGCTTTATTACAATAAAAATGTCATTTTTCCTAATTACATGTACGTACTCAGTTTGTACATGTATATTGTAGATTAAAATTAAAATAATAAATGCATTCAATCTATCGCTATATGTCACCATAAAGTTCTTCATAAAAACGACGGCGACCAAATAATCTATGCTCAAAATCAGGACCAAACTTAAATCTTTTTCCAAGTTTGTCGATGTGAATATAAGGTATAAAGTTTCCATAATCACCAAAGTCCAAAAATATTCTTTTATACGGTGTGGTATACCTGAAAAATTGTTCGTGTGGTGCTTTTGCTTCTTTGGTAAACGATGGCAATGTTTTTCTTTGTTTCATATTAGTGTTTGAGATTGGTATATTTGGGCGCGGCAAAGATGATAAAGGAGTTACAGAAGAAAAGACAAGTTTGGTATTTTCTTTGGTGTCAATGTTAGTTTCAGTGGAATATTTCTGGTCCGGTAATAAAGAATTTGTTTTCACAGAATTAGATCCGTCGTGAATTTTAACTTTGGATGAGAATAGAGTATTATCTTGCCCAATACGAGCCAAAACAGCCCCGATTATAATGAAAGAAAGCAAAAATTTGAGAATCGATAGCATTGTTTTAGTGGAGTTGATTCAAGTTTGATAGCAAAGATATTTTTATTGAAGTTTATACTCTTATTGCTTAAGATAAATGTTCCTTATATATTCAAATGTGGCTATAAAAAACCAAATCAAGTTCGTATCAATTATAATAAGTCAAGTAGTTATCATTCCATAAAATAAAATTAATCGCTTATTAAAACGCCTACCGTTATCGCTATGGTGAGTCGCACCTAAACTCATCAACAAACTGTGTTCTATAAACTTCTTAATAGGAAGTAATCCAAAATTAACCCGATAGAATAATTGAGAAAGGCCTATTATATCATTCTAGCTTGTATTTAGAAGTTTTGTTGGAGTTTAGGTGTGCTACGCCATAAATCAATTATTCTCATCCTAAGAAAATCGTTTATCAATATAACTAACTCTCTGAATCTCGAAAATAAATAAATTATTTGCACACATATCAATCGCTTGGGGAAATTCGCAAAAATTCCAAGCTGTTTTTAAATTTCATACATTACAGTCGTGGCCAAAAGTATCCGACCCCCCTTAACTTTCCGTAGATCATGTGTAATGCACCAAATTTTTCCGA